GATGTTTTATTGTTCCACTTCGAGTTATTCAGGTCTTATTGTCTCTTTTCCTGTTTAAAGTTACGTCAGCTATCTACATGTGTATATTTATATATGTTCCTTTATGTTTACTTAAACTCTTTTGTTTGGACTCACTAGGCGTAAGCCTAACCCTCTCTCTTTCGTGTTATATTTACTTTTAGGTTCCTTTAGCGGTGGGACTCWAAAGGGATGAGAGGAGCGTTGGTTCGTGAAAGGCTYTTTTGCAGATTAAGCCTTTATTACTTTWGAGCGTCGCGTTTGTTTTAGTGATACGATACTTTTGGAGATATAAAGAAATACCGCCTTTAATCTAAATATAGAGTAATCTAGATTAGTAGGTTGTTAATTATCGTCTCAGTAGCTGTTTTGTAAACGTTTTTCTATTACCCCTTCTGTTGGGTGAATTCTTTTTATAAAATTCCGATTTTTCGTTTCATATTTCAGTCCTTTTTGCCTCATATTTTTAGGGGTGTTACATAGGGTTGGGTTCCGATAAGGATAAGAGTTAAAAAAATCCAAAAGCTTAGAAGTGTTTTCATATTTTCACCATAACTGTTACTTTAACACGATTCCTAATCTTCCAAAGTATATATCGTAAATTAGAGTTGTTCACGGGTGGGATGATCCGTTAAACCTGTCATGTCCGGCCCGCTAGGAAAGCGGGTTTGGATTATCATTCTCGAAGAAATGGGCGAACTTAGACTGACTTGTTAAAATTAATGAGCAGACATGAGCAATGGAAAAAGAAATATCTGGACAGGCCCGTCAGACGCGTTAATATTTTCATAATAATTAGTTTTTATAATTAAAATTTGCAAATAAAATTGAAAATTCTTATTACTTATCAATTCTTACTTAATTATGATTCATGATAATAACATTCTTTAAAAATCTTAAATATAAAAATATAATTACCTTAATTGATCAAATCTTTATTATATCACTTAGTAATTTTCTTATTGATACTTCATATTTAGCGAAACAATTTCTTTCTAAGTATCTATGTTGTTATGTATTTACGTCAAATTTTAAGTTGGAAAAATTGTTATGTATTTTGAATTATTTTACATAACTTGTGATTTATATAAGTTTGTTTTCATAAAAATATAACAAGATTTTTAAGTCCGTTAATCCGTAGGCAAGCCCGGCCCTCTTATACAGCAGGTATGGGCACTGGCGGATGCACACTATACTTGTAGGGGGCACAGGCCCCCAACAAACTAATCCCAACAAGCACCAAAATAGAGCATAATGGTAGGTTTTAAAAAAACATTAACCAAAAATTCTTAACAGGCCCCTAACAATTAAAGGTAAGGCTTCAAATCTAAATTTATGTGTCTCATTTATAACTCTTATTTCACTGAGTCATTATTTTAAGGATCAATTAAACGTCCTTAAGTTTCAAGTCTCAATCTATTGAAAACCATTTTATTTTTTTTATTTTTTTTGCTATAATGCTAATGATTTGATTAGTCACTATTTTGATTTTTCCCAACTTTCTTTTTGTATTTTATTGTTTTATAGATTTATAATTATTGTTATTTGTTAATTATTAATTTTCTCTTTCTTAATTGTTATTTGACTTAGGATTCTTTAATTTGTTATTTTGATTTTAAGGTTTGCTACTAGTTTATCTTTTATTTTTGATTTCTTAGCCTTTCGCTATCTGATTTCTTTTTAACTGAATCTAAGTTATGGACCTCTTGCTCTCTAATTTCTTGCTACTAACTATTAATGTGTAGTGTGTTCATTTGCTTTTGTTTAACCGAAAAGTAAAATATGTACATGGGAATATGATATCTCGGTTTATYCAAAATAGTCAAAAATTAATTGAAAACCAAACCGAATAAGTTATATTTATTCGATAACGGAACYGTTTAATCCGGAAACCAAATAACCCAAAATCGTATTGGTTCGAATGAGTTATTTGGTTTCAGAATTTGTTTTGACACTCTTAAATGTGCCCCCAATAATATAAGTTTCTGGATCCGCCACTGGGTATGGGTGAATTTTCAAGCCCGTTTCGGGTTTGGTTTTACTATATTCGGCCCGTTAGATAAAGAAATAGATCAAGTCCGGTCTTAATCTGATCCAAACCCGCAAATGATTAGTTTTGTCATAAATGTATACAAAATATTGTACTTGGTTGTTTTGCTATTTATAGCGTTTATATGAATAGGTTATTTAATGCTTTCTTTTATAAAATATGTGACAATGACATGTAACAAGAAAAGATAATAGCAAAAGCACTCAATGTCTTATTTTCAACATAAATCAACTATTTAAATATTATTTGGTATGGTTGACTTAAAGTGAGATTAGTCTGTTTTCGTGAGACCCATGAGACCATTTTTTTTATAAGAACCTATTTTTTGTACTTTTTCTAGTCATGTCATGTAATTTATCAAACTGAAAACTTTTTTTTCCTTTTACTTTAAAGAAGAATTTAGCATTTTTTTTTTCAAATCGTCAAGTTTATATAATAGCATAGTTGTTATGACCGTTTATCGGTTGACATCCATTGGATGTGTAGGGAATCGAACCGATTCAATCATCAACTGGATGTTGGATTTTTTCCAACCACTCCAATCCAATGGATGATTGAATCGGTTTGGTTCCATCTATTGAATTAGATTGGATATCCATCGGATGTTCTTACTGGATATCCATTGGATCCATCCGTGATCCGGCATCCGATGGATGATCAGATCCATTCATTATGTCAGTTTAATAAAAAAAATTAACAATGAAACAAATTGATTAATCACTTTTTAATGTGTTAAGACCAACACAAAACAAATTAAGATTTAAGCAAGTTGAAAACAAATTAATTAGATGATAGTTGGATGAATAACTAAACAGGAATCTGATGGATAATTGGATGTTGGTCGATTCTGAATTATCATAAAAAAAACCGATCAAACCAAATTGGATGTAAATTTTTTTAATTTGATTCAATCCAATTATAATTGAATATTCAATTATCATCGGTTGAATTTAGAGGATGTTTGAAATTGCTTATTTGAAACAACTTATGATTTTCTACAAGATTACTTATCAATTTATTATAAGTCAGAAGAGTTTAACTTGTTCAAAAAATGCTTATTACCAGTTTGACAACGATATAAATTGTTTATCCAAAACACTCAAAGATACTTGTTACCGATACATCATCAAAATAAGTCAAAAAATTATTTTTATAAAGATGGCTCTAAAAATACATTTTAAAATAGCATCCCCGCGATTAATTCGCTGGCCAAACACGACTCGAGCACCATTGAGAAGGACTCGAGCACCATTGAGATAAGGAAGTTGGACCGTCGTCTCTTCCATTCAACTTCTTCTTCCTTTCTCCGATCAACAATGGCGGATCTCACTCCCTACAACCCTACCACCGGAATCTACACCTCCACACGACCACCAATTTCCCTCCCACGATCGCCCACCACCTCTATCATCGATTTCCTCTTCCGCAACCTCCCTGCTTACTCCAATCGTCCCGCCTTAATCGACCCTCATTCTCATGAAATCATCACTTTCTCTCAGCTCAAACAAAAAGTCTCCGATCTTGCTCACGCCCTGCACTACACTCACAATATCTCCAACGGCGATGTCGTCCTCATCTTCTCCCCCAACTCCATTCTCTTCCCCGTAGCCTTCTTCGCCGTTGCCTCCATTGGCGCCATCGTCACCACCGCTAATCCTGTATACACCGTCAATGAACTCTCACACCAGATAGCTGATTCTAAACCTAAATTGATTATCACCGTTGACCAACTCTACTCCAAGGTCAACGAATTCAATTTGCCCATAGTTGATCTGGAAAACTATTTAGATTTAATCGAGAAATCGCGTAACCAGCCCGTGATCTCCTTTTCCGTTTCTCAAAACGACGTCGCCGCGATCCTGTACTCCTCCGGCACGACCGGATTGAGCAAAGGAGTGGTGTTGACTCACCGAGCTATAATGGCGACGGCGTTGATGGTGACGTCCGACCAAGAGTTCTACGGGGAAGGAAGAAGCGTGTTTCTGTGTGTGGTACCGTTGTTCCATATTATGGGGCTGATCACGTTCAGCTACTCGCAGATTCAGAGAGGGAACGCGGTGGTTGTGATGCAGAGGTTTGAGTTGGAGAAGGCTCTGGATGCAATGGAGAAGTACAAGGTGACTCACCTTTATACTGCACCGCCGGTGGTTGTGGCGATGGCGAAGCAGCCGGCGGTTGTGAGAAGGTACGATACGTCATCGTTGAAAGAGATTGGGTCCGGCGCAGCACCTTTAGGGAAGGACGTCATGGATGAATGCTCCAAAGTTTTTCCTCAAGCAAAGATATTACAGGTGAATTTTGAATATGGAAGGGGGGGTTTTGAGATTGCTTATTTGAAACAATTTATGATTTTCTATAAAAAAACACTTATTAATTTATTAGCGGTTTGATATTTAACGATATAAATTGTTTATCCAAACACTTAAGAGTGTTTATTATTGGTGTCGTACCGAAATAAGTCAAGTTATTTTTATAAGCAATCCCAAACACCCCTAAAACCCTCTTATAGAAGTGTTGGCTCGAGGGATTTCTTTAAGCTTTCGATGGGTTTTTTTTGTTAATTCAAAATAATGTTTTGGATAAAGGGGTGCACGGGACCGTTGGGTCCTTCGTCGGTCCGGCGATGCTAACAATAATTGTGGGTCCCACGATAATAAAAAGTTTTGCTAAGTTTAAAAGTTGTGGACTACCAATAACTTTTATCATGCTTTTAAATTGACTTACATCTATTTGTTATACATGACTGTTTAGTAGTAGGTTAATGATACAGAAAATGGTTTATTTAGTTTTAAAGTATTGTATTTTTGTAGGGATATGGGATGACAGAAACAGGTGGAATTATATCGATTGAGAATACAAGGGTAGGATCTGGTCTTTCAGGTTCATCCGGAGTGCTTTGTCCAGGAATGGAGTCCAAAATTATACACATAGAAACATTAAAACCTCTTCCACCCAATCAATTGGGGGAAATTTGGGTCCGCGGACCCAATTTGATGCAACGTAAGTTTCGTCGTTTATGTTTTTCGATAAAAGAAGTCGTAAAATGGGCAAATAAACCAAAAGAGTGGTCTGAATATTGTGATGAATGCAGAGTATTTCCATAACAAAGAGGCCACACAGCAGACCATAGACAAAGAAGGGTGGTTACACACAGGTGATCTTGGTTATTTTGACGAAGGAGGACGAATATTTGTCGTGGATCGACTCAAAGAGCTTATCAAGTATAAGGGTTATCAGGTAATTTCGTCATTCACACTGTTTTTGCTGTTAAGGTTCAGTGTTATTTTGTATTCTGACAAAAACATACTGGTTTCAAATGATTTTTTTGTGTTTGAATTTGAATTTGTTGTCAGGTGGCACCTGCAGAACTTGAAGGGCTGCTGGTTAAACACCCTGAAATCATGGATGCTGCAGTCATCCCGTAAGAATAATTTAACCCATTTTAGCTTCCTTTTATCATATATATATATATATATATATATATATATATATATATATATAAGGTTAAGGGGAAATCTTAGTAACTGCTTATCTGAACTATATACACATGTGCATACCGTCTAGATGAATGGTTACCAGTGTTTCACAACTTTTCATTTTTTTTGAAAGTTTTCCGTTAAACATCTTCTATGTATGTGTGTGCGTGTGTGTGTATATATACGTATGTATGATATTAGGCCTTTGAGCATGCTAGATCAATCCTTTGATATGGAAAATTTGAAATAAGTTATAAAAGCTATGTATTTTTGATAATGTAGATATCCTGATGAGGAAGCAGGTGAAATCCCGATGGCATATATAGTACGTAAAGTGGGAAGCTCGATTACTGGCGAAGAGCTTCAAAGTTTTATTGCAAGACAGGTAAGAAAACTATCAGTGTAGCTCTGTTGACAGATGGGTGGAGTGATTTGCCCAAATACTAACGGGATAAAGAAGATTGATAGTTTCAACGTGTGATTTCAGGTTGCACCGTTTAAAAGAATACGCAAAGTAGCATTTATCGACATCATTCCGAAAGCAGCATCAGGAAAGATTTTGAGGAGGGAACTTAGACAGAAACTTAAATCCAGACTCTGAAGATATAATATATCCTTTTCCACTCATAGTTGCTTATCAATAATAATGAGAATCTTTAGACACATTTAAAGAAACAGTCATCTCTCTCTCTCTCTCTCTCTCTCTCTATATATATATATATATATCTAATGTTACATATATATATGTATGTATGCACGTATGTACATGTCTAATGTTATCCTTCATGCAATAAATGATCTCTTATAATAACTGTAGCCATTGAGTTTATCGGGACTAATTTCTTGCGGTCACAATTTACTCGGATTAGTTTGGGCTTAGCTTGGACACCCTTCCAAAAAAATGATCTCCTTATGTAGAGGAGACTTTGAGTATGCTTGTAGTTATATTAATGAATTATTGGATACTGCATCTTAGTGGTTCTAAAACTTTCTAAATGATTTTATATTTCGGATCTTCTTTAATCATTCAGCGTCCTAATTTCATTATAAACAATTATATTTTATTTTTAATATATCATAAAAGTCTTTTAATTATTCTGATCACTTAATCATTCTGTATCAAACTATTTAAAAGCTGTCTAACAACCTTGATTTTGATCTTTCTACCTTCTTTTCCAAAAATAAAGAAAAATATAATCCAAAAACATAACATAAAAAATTTGGGCTCTTAGTTTTTTGGGCCCTGAACAGGTTCTCATTTGTATGACTATGATAAGTTGATAACTATGGATCTTTTTGTTAGAGCTTAATGTGAATCAAATTATTTTATGTGTTTTATTTAGGTGTCGTTTACCAAATGTTTAACCGGGTAAGCGCTTATCAAGTCACAGTACTTTATCGGATAAATATGACAAAGACTAAAAATCTTACCCGGTAAGAGCGAAGGCAAGAATTGAGAGTCTTACCCGGTAAGTGAGGGTGACGACTCTTACCATGGTTAGCGCTTACCATGATAAATTGTTGCATACGATGCGTTTTGGTGAATAAAGTCTTACTTGGTAAGTAAACGATAATGTTGAATTTTACCGGTAAGGTGCTTACTGGGTAAGTTTTTAGGTAAACGGCCCCTTATAGTTTTTATAGTGACTTAATAATATAAAAAGTAACTTATTTAATAAACTTTTATAGAGAACTTTATGTAGATAGTCAAGTTTTTTTTTTTTTTTTTTCCAAATTTGTCTCTTCTAATTAAAAACATGTTCTTTCATTTATGAAAAAACTCTGTCAAACAGAAACCTTACAAATCTATATAGACATATTAATCCGTACAAACAGCTGTAACCATATATGACTTAATGAAAAACCGATCAAACAGATGTATGTCTCTATGTTATAATACGTTTAATCAAACTAAAAAGAAGTTCGAGAACTCATACTAAATTATATATGAAAAAATCCAACATTTATGATCATTTTAATAACTCATTCCACATAGATAGGAAATGAGTTTTCTGAGCTGATTTGTGTGCTATCAATAACTTTCACCATAATTTTAAGTTAAATCCGAAAATATTTGGTCATAAGAAACAAATATAGGGATATTTTTCACAAAATCATTGGTCTGTTGGTTAGTTTATTGCTTTTCATATGTTAGGTATGTGTTCAAGTCTTTTATTGCACTTCTTTTCAGAAACATAATAAATCTGAAACTAAAAGTTAAAAACTAACTCTATCAAGTATGGAAGAAAAGCCTTGCAAACTAACTCTACCAAGGAAAACTTATGTCCTTATTGTAGTTTCAAAATGTATATGGTGGCACACAACAAATTGATACGGTGACACTTTTCACACTCCAATTATTTTTACATTGTGACCGAGAAACAAAACGGTGGCACAGGCCACCATATGCTCTACATAGGGTCCGTCGATGACCCATGGTGAAACAAACCTCATTGGGTATGATGAGTACTCAAGTGGGTTTTCGTAACATCTTAGACGAATCCCACATCATCGATTACAAGGAGGATGATTCTAGACATAACTTCAAAACACATAAATTGAACGCATTCGATAATATGTAGATCATATAAATATTAAGGTTTTCAAAACATATTATAAACACATCATCATACCCGTTGGATCAAAACGACATACGACAACATCCACTCAATTTTATATAAGTTTGAAATATTTACATTAGATAAAACAATTTATATATGTTTATAGTACCTTTTATTTTCAAAAAATACAATAATTAGAAACTATGGTCTGTTTGGCTCATGTTGAAGAATGAAAATGAAAATGAAAATGAAAATGACAGGTAGTAAATTTTCATTCCCCCCAGTTTAATGAGGAATGAGATTTTGGGCTTCTGGAAAAATGAGTTCATTATATTATAGAAAACCAAACAGTTTCTTTTATTTTTATTCTCATTGATTACTGTTTAATACCTCTAACCGAACATCCCCTAAAACTAAATATAATATATTTAAAATAAAAAATGGGAAGAGAAATGACAAGTAACGAATCCTACTTGAAGTGTTGTTTGAAAGCAATTTTGTGGGCAATGCCTAAATGTTAAGTTTCCATCAATGTTTCCTCCAATATTTCACTATCACTTTCTCATGATGTGCCCTTCACCTATAGTCTCTCTTTATTTCATTCTTTATATCATTAATCATTCGTACTTATATAATAATCACGATTTTTGTAAACACGTTACCAATCAGATACACAACAACCATAACTAATTAATGTTTTCAAAACGTAACCAACGACAAGTGTCGACTTAATCTCTGTCACCATCCACATCTCAGGGTCAAGCGCCGATGAACACATTGAACTATCCATGTGGCTGAGAACCCTCACAGCCCAGCCACAACAACGCAAAATTATCAAGGGCACGCTCTACCCACTGAGCTAATAACCCGTCGTACGAGCCTCCCACTAAGGGCCCACTATGCCAAAAACGAGAGAAACTCCATCTCTCTCTTTCCTTTTTTTTATCCCCCATGTAGCCACACAGAGGGCATGGAGATGTAAAAAAGGGGATCGTATCAACTTGCTCTGACATGAGATAATAAGCTCATGAGGTTGGTCTTACCTCACTGTCGACCTGCGTGATCAAAGAAATGAGTGTTAAAAGTACTTGTACCATGTGTTGATTTGGGGGTACATTTTCTTGGAGAAAAGGTGAATGCTTTACCAACTAAAGACATAAATCATTTTTCTTTTCTTGAGTAGATAATTTTTAATTCCCATTTTTTGAAAAATGGGTGATTTTAATTTCAACATGAGAAATGATTGAGTTGGGAGAACATGCATTGGCACATGACAATGGGCCCAAGTTTAGTTTCCATAGAGAAAGTTTAGGTTGACTTTGTGGCATTTACCAAGCTTCCAACAAAAGGGGCCATGCCCAATTTTTAACAATTGTTTTGTATCCTTATTTAATTATTTTACATATAAAACTTCATCTTAAAAAGCTTACTGAATAAGTCATTTTCTATATCATTAAGTCATTTATAACTAATCGAATAAGTTTTAAGTTTCATTTAATTTATTAAGCTGCTAATAAATTCATTCGGTTTTAGTTTATGAAGCAATTGGAATACAAGAAGCACACAAGGAGGCAAAGGGGCCATGTTTTCTGAAAATGTGCCAAAGTCCACATCTACTCCGTACGCTTAAATTTGTGTGTGGTGTGAAGCTTTGACAAAAACAAACATATAAATCATAAATATATTAAAAATCAGAAACCAATTATTTCATATATTTTTTACGATAAATATTTATGAATATTAATTATCGTTACAAAGCTTATCTCAACCTAATCCTTGCAGATTAGGTTGTCGGGTTGCCATCATTTAAAAAAAAAAGTATGTGCTTTTTGATATCTGGTCACTTAGAAATATCGTTTGTCACACGCACAAATTGAACTTGTAAAAGATGAAAACATGTTTATGTACCAATACTCATGCTTCCTGCTTTCACCCAACCAATATATATATATATATATATATATATATATATAGTCATATTATATAATTACTAGAAGGATACTCGCGCAATGCAACGAGACTTCTAAATTTTAATGTTTCATTTTATTTATTTTCTCTGTCGGTATAATACGGTTTTATGTGGTTTTTAGAAAAAGATAATATTTTTATTTTTGAATGAAATATAAATTTGAAAATATTATAAAATTTTGAAAAAATAAATATATCGATATTAGTATCAAATTAACTTTTTTAATTTAGGTTTAATTATAATTTAATTTTTTTTATTATAATTTAATTTAGGTTTAGTAACAACGAAATTTAATTTTGGTTTAATAATATAATTTTTTATAAAGATAATAACTAAAGTATTTTGTTAGAACTCAATGATTATCCTAATTATATTTTAGATTTTTTATATTTAAAATTAGATGTTTATCTAATATTTGATTATGTTTATCTGCAGTTAGTTAGACGAATTCAAGTATGAAGATTTAATAAGTTATACTTATGCACAATTTACTTGTAATCTTAAATTTTAAGTAATATGCATCAATAAACAGTACTTCGTGCATAAAAAGTCGTTTTTAAGTGTTTTTGTCAAATGTTTTATAATTTGGTATAGATATATTGATTCGTTTCGCACGTTTCTTTGCACAACTCAAATCCAATTCTTTTGTTGTTGTTATATCTACAGTAAATACCAACATGTAAATGGAGAAACAAAATTAGGCACAAAAAATGGTGCTTCGAAAATGATAAGAGAAATGAGAATGGGACTCGGACTCGGTAAATATAACAAATGTTTATATTGTATATTAATATAATTTTTTTATATAAATTATATATTAGCAACGGGTTAACAGGTTGGTTTGAGTTAGCGTTAGGAGTGTTCGTAGTCCGGTTTGGATGGTTTAACTCCTCGGAATTTTTTTTCAAACCAAGCAGTGAGTCACATGGTGTTAACTTCGTTGAAATTATGGATGCTTGTTGACTTATTACGGTCTAGAGACATACAACGTCTAGAGACGCATAAGGTCAGATTCAAACATTCTGATCTTGTTAAACCTGATCCAACAACAAATTGGCGTAATTGTTTCTTCAAACACGTCTTAAGTAGTGTTACTCCTAAAATTTGGGTCTGAACTAGTCATGTATTAATTTTT